TCAATAAATAAACTGTGTTTTTATCTATGTTTTCTCTGTGTTTTATTTCTCTCTGAAGTGACGCCTGTTGGCTTATTTTTTTTTGCATTTTACTCAGAAATTTACTAAACAGCCAGTGTAGGTCCAGGTGTAAAGTCCCATCATTGTGTAGGCATGATTAGTGCTTCATTTGTATACCGCCATTTTGCAATCAGCACTTTGGACAGTCACAGAGTGAGCTGTGCTGTTTGGTGGCGTGTGTGTCCGTGTACATGAGTGTGTGTATACAGTTGCAGCGTGATTGCAGCGTGATTGGCAACACGTAACAGTGACATAGTGACACTCTGTTTAGGCTTTCTTTTTAAAATAAAACATTCAGTCCTAATTCAATTTCCCCTCCTTTTGAAGGGAAACTACATGGAGCGAGGACAGGAGAGCCAGTGAGTCAGAGAGACAGGAGGAGGGGAGCTGGGAGGCCTTTGTGGTGACTACAGTTTACAAGAGAAGACAATCAGTCAACAAGCATAAAGTTATTCATGAACAAAGCACACAACAACGTGGCAAATAGACAGGACAGTTAATCAAACTGTATCTGCTGCCTGTCAATTTTGGTTGGATATATTATTACTGTGCAGTGTTCACAACTTATTCTAGTGATGTTTGGTCATTTATGTTTTCAATTTCATCCTTCCAAATAGAGACCTTTTTGTCAAAATTTTTCTTTATTTTAAATTCTCAGGTTTTTGTTAAATTTATTGTTTTTTATTTTTCTGATGTGGTGCTTAGGTGACAGGGACACAATAAGAGTAAGACTGGCTATACTGGTGTCAAAGAAATCTGTTAACAATAAAAATATGTTTGTTTGCAATATGTCAGTTATTTATATTGTTCATTCCAAATTGATTCCAAGTGTTCTGATGGGCCACATGGTGTGCCAAATAATGCTGCAAATGTTATACTAGGTAGGTGCGGAAATTAGGGTGAAAAAGACAATAAAAACGCTTTAAAAACCTGAGAAAAAAAGCATATTTTTACGTTGTGCACGCGCACTCCAGAGGGGGACCCGGGACCTCCTAGAGGACAAATTAAGCACTGGCTTTAACAACAGCTTGGCATATACCAGGCATTCATTCCACAAGTTTTTTAAGGTATGTTCCAATGATTGCATTCCAAGCTTTCTTAAGTTCATTAAAAAGAGACTGCTGATTCGTGGGAAGCGTTTTTCTGACCGATCAATCCAATTCATCCCGCACAAGCTTAATTGGAGAAAGGTCTGGAGACTGAGGGGGCTAAACCATCTTTTGAAGAACACTTTCCTCTTGTTTTTTTGTCTAGGTAACCCTGACAGAGCTTGGCAGAGTGCTTAGGGTCATTGTCTTGCTGCAAAACAAACTTATGAGCCACAAGTCTTGGTCCAGATGGAGCAGCATGGTGCTGGAGGATGGAGTGGCACTGTTCCTTCTTCATGATACCCTTTATTTCAAACAAATCTTCTACTCTATCACCTGCAAAACATCCCCATACCATGGAACTACCACCTCCATGCTGAATTGTGGGTGTAACTCATGGTGCTTTCAGACTTTCACCAGTTTGTCTGCGGACATAGACTCTGCATTTTGAACAGTGCAAACTTGTTTCTAGTCATCATAAGTCCATTTTTTGTGAGCTTTTGCCCACTCATATCTCTTTTTCTTGTTCTGTGGATGAAGTAGTGTTTTTTTGCAGATACACAACCCTTCAGACCAGCCTTTCTCAAACGTCATTTCACGGTTGTCAGAGATATGGGTTTCGACCTTGTCATGTTGATTTCCTCCCTTATTTGTGGTGCTGTCTTTCGCCGATCTCTCTTACTGGTGACAATGCTATGTTTATCCTCTGCTTTTGTAGTAACTCTCTTTCGTCCAGGTCTTTTTCTATCATCATAACTTCCAGGTTCCTCTAGTCTCCTTAGAGTGTAGTGGATTCCTTTGTTCGACACCTTTAGGCATTTTGCAATTTCTCTTTCTGTGTATCCTTCTTTCCTCAATGTACAAATCCATACTTTTGTTCTTTACTCAGCATTTTTGCGGTAGTTCGAACGCAGTTGAGATTTATTAGGATTTTTGTATGCAGACTCTCAAAAGACAAAAAGTTGAAGTGAATAATCCAACTGTGATTTGTTTTTTTGCTTTTGCACTGAAGTTGTGACTCTTGCAAATGTTTTCAACTCTAAATCTAAGCCCTGATTTTCTTTTGCTGACATATATTTAGCAATGGTCTGTTAACATCAATGTATCTAAAGGTAAAATGGTGCATTTCCATGAAAGCAACATCTGATCATGAATCCCAAAATACATAAAACTTATGCTGGATTTAAAAAAAAAGCATTGTGAACAAAAATTTAAAGTTACTCCCAACTGTTCGGCCTGTAATGGCCTTGCTTCCAAACATTTGGCCTGTAGTGTATATATATATATATATATATATATATATATATATATATATATATATATATATATATATATATATATATACATACATATATGTATTTATATATTTGTTTTGCCGGGATGCTCAACACAGATCTTGGGGAATATGGGGAATACACCCCCTGGCCCCATCCCTGCGTCCCTGTAGCTCTCCACCACTTACTGATTAGAAGCTGGAGATATTTTATTATAATTTATAGAGTTGATGGAAAGACAAGAACTCAGTTTCGATCTGACCTGACTTTTTTTTTCTCTGGGAAGATCAATAATTACACACAATCATGCCACATGACTTTTTTCATGTTCTCACTCACACCCATTTTTCTTTGAGAGATAACTGTGTCGTGTTTCTAGAGTAATGTTAAGGTCAGATTACAGAGTTTGAGCATGATCATAGTCAGACCTATAAGCTGTAGCTTGACCAGACCTGTTGGTTCTGAACATCAGCCAGTTCATCTTGTGTAGTTAGTCCTAGTAAATGAAAATCAGGACTATGCCTGGGATGGCTCATGGCCTCCTGACAAGTTTCAAGTGCTCTCCCTGCCCCCTTATCCTGATTTCAGTGACATTGACCAATAAAAACACTCTACCTGAGTGTAAACAAGCAAAATGGGGAAGTGGAAACAGAATGAAGTTGGTGCTGCAGGATGAAGTTATGAAACAGAAAAACAGTTTATCTACCTTTAAGATGTGTCAGAAAAGGGACAAATACCATAAATGTGGGTCAGAGATAGCAGACAGTCACTTCCAGGTGTCATCTATCCCTTCTGGTAGTCACAATGGGATCCACCAATGGCAACCCAGTTGTTGTGATGGTGTACCATCCCTGAGGTCTGTCATGTCTTTTGGTCATGTCACAGCACGATGCTTTAGCCCTGGAAACATCCAGTATAAAAACATATCTGTTAAGATGGCCTCCAAAAGTAAGAAAACCCTGGCTTTCTTTATGTAATAACCAAAGTTTTGAGAGTGAAAGGAAGGCTTTCATTCCAAACTACATTGAGAAGTGAGTGTTGGCTTCAATATCGTCCCCATCTCGTGTTTAAAAGCTGCCTTCAATAAGTATGAAAGCACTGTGTCGCCTAACACATAATCCACATCATAGGAAAATGGTGTTTGCTCCCCCGGCAGTGTGACATCACTCAGTGTTTCCCCTCCTCGACCTTTGAGGATGCCAGCACTGAAGGCCTGAGGGAGGGGTCTGCTGTTTGCTTCTTGTGCCCATTTACTAATTGAATATATTTGATTCCATAAAACTAATAAGAAACAACTGAAAGCAGTATGAGGAGGTTCATGTGTGCCATGGTTGCATTTCACTTGTTATGTGTTGTGATAGATGTAGTAGAGTTACAGATGCTCGGCTTGAAGGGGCAAGAACATATGAAGAGCTCCAGGATGACTAAACTGTAGGATATGCAAAAATTGTCCTGTTTTTGATCTGCTCATTAGCTGTGCTTTTGGTTCCAAGTGTGAAATTTGTTAAGGAATATTATACCTGCTGTGTTTGTGAAGGTCTATCTACTCCAGTGAACTTTCCAATTCATTCTCTTTACCACAACCCGTTCTTATTAAGCTGCCCCATTCTCTGTCTCTGCAATCTACCTTATCTCAGAATGGACTGGCTACTGAGACACAAACTACTGAGACACAAACCAGCATCTAGTTTAAAATATCTGTCCTTTGTTGATTTACACAAAGTCCATGCAGCTCAACAAGCAAACGCATGCTGAACAGATTAAACAAATAAATACTCAGTAAGATGACAGAAAAAAAAGAGACAAAAGTGTCATCATCAGTTTAGTTCAAATGATCCCTCTGAGATCTGTGGATCACACTGATCCCTGAGCCGATCTTCATCACTCAGAGGTTTGTTACAAGTGCCTGGTTTAACAACTGACTGACTGCTTAGCAGCACACTAACACTACTCAGCCTAAAGATGTATCCCTCTGATTCTCAGACCAACTGAATCAGATCCTTGCCTTTCACTCTGAACGCAGTCATTGATTGTTTCTCCAGGTTTGGACTACAGAGGACAAAAAACAGCAGAACTGTTCAGTCCTGACTTTAGACCCTCTTTTGGAACAGGAGAGTATATAGTATAGAGAGGTTTTCAGTCAGGACCTGTCTGAATCTCAATGTCCCTTGGCAAGCCACTTTCTTCCCCGTATCTGTATCTTCTGACAGATCTGCCTGTTTTCAGTAGTTTTACAGCACTTGCTGCCCCCCTCCACATCTCCCAGAGCCCAATCCCCTGCTGCCACCAGCTGACAGGGAGAGGGGGAGGAAGGATATAAAGCAGTGGAAAAAAACAAGGCTTCTGAGTAAACAAACACTACTTCTGTTTCTTGGCAGTTCTCTTAACCCTTTCACCAGAGGAGACATCAGGAGGACTATCCACAGAAGGAGGCTTTATATCCAAAGCATTCAGCAAAAGGATACTGCAGAACTCAATTCATCCCAGATTGTGGATGAAAAACTCTGCTGTTTCAAAGCAACTGTTTAAAAGCAGTTTTTGTTTTATTGAAAATACATAATACAAAAGATTTTTTCATACCAGTACAAATACATGGATCAAAGAAGGAAAACTGAGCACTGAGCTTCAGCTCTTTGATACTGTGATTAAAAAAAGAGTGTAGAGACAGAAAGGATGGACAGGCCCTCTGGTGATCTCTGTGTTGTCCTGTCACAGAGATACTGTTTGCAGTTCCTTTAGCCGTCATTTAAGGTCCAACTCAAAGATATACACAAAAGAACACACTTAGTTTCCACATCTCTCAATTAAAAGCAGATACATGCTTCAAAAAGACATTTACAGATGATAAATAAACCAAAACAAGACGATTACAGCATGGACCATCTTCCAAGTACCTCTAGTTTTGAAAATCCATATTAAAAAAGAGATCTAATATGCCATCTACATTGCAAACAATTTATCAGCTATTAGAATAGTATGCAAAATAATTACTTTGAAATAAAATTAAAGCTAATAAATAAATAAAGTTTTAAACTAGATTTGACCAGAGGGAAGGGCTGAGGGAGAAACATCTGACACCAGCATGGTGGGAGACTGCATGGGGACCATCACAGGGTCAAAGGTGACTTCCTGTGACTGTCAAACACACACTGTTAGACGGTAAACATAATCTCAGTTGGCTGTTGAGAAAGCAAATACACACACATTCATACACACTCTCACACACAAACACACTTCCAAGAAATTAAGAAAATGCTCAAATCCAAGGCACACATGGTGGAGGGGCTGCAGTTTCCCCTGTCAGAACAGCTCAGCGTTGTGAAACCCAGTCTCTCATTCTCTCTCTGTATTACCTCAGAGCTTCTCAATGATCATGACACATTAGTTGTGGTGACAAATAAACAGCTTAAACACAAACCATACTCACTGAATGGCAAAGGGAGGAGAACATGACAAAATTAAAATTAATGACATCTGACACAGACCCGGATCCAGCAAAACCATCAGTGGTTCGCTGCAAAACTCTTTGAGAGATAAAGCTCCTTTTTAATGAGAGAAAAAGAGTTGCCCAAACCCTTTTCACCCCACCCCTGTAGGTTACAAACTACCAGCGTATGAAGATAAAAAACAGTTCCTACTGAAATATCAACAATCATTAGTCCTCACAGAGGATTTCCTAAGTCTCTTCATCTTTCTAAAAATATATAGAGTTTCTATAACGATACAATAGCAAGGCACAAGGTGAGCCAATCAGAAGTCCAGCTCTCTTCTCCTTTAAATTCAAGTGTCCAATTCAGGGAGCCTTTCTGGAGGAAGAAATCTCTCTGAAGTAAAGTGTTCTGGGAAATATCTGTGTGTGTGTGTGTGTGTGTGTGTGTGTGTGTGTGTGTGTGTGTGTGTGTACGTGCGTGTGCATGCTTGTGTGTCTCAGTTTGCAGGACTGCTCACGGTCTTGTAAGCTGGGTATAAACTGGGGCCTGCTCCCAGTGCTGCGGGCTGCTCTGGGGGATGGAGGGCACCCCTGTGTTGTCAGCTATGGGTGTGTACATGGGCCTCTGACTAGGACTGCTCATGTAGCTGAAAGTCGAGTAGAGCCCAGAGCCCTGGCCCGCCCCCGCGTGGCTGTAATAAGAAGCGGCAGCCGTGCATCCCCCCTGGTGGTCAGAGTAGTCATACTGCTGTGCCCTGGAGATTGCGGGGTAAGAAGAGGAGGGGCTGTAGTGCTGCAGGTTGAAGGGGCTGAAAGAGATGGGTTGAGGGGAACCCTGCTGCTCACTGTAGTGACTGGGACTCAGCTGCTCCGTCTTAATCTGTGTCCTGTGCTGGGCCTGAGATGTCTCTGAGCTGCCACTGTTCCCCAGTGGTGTCAGGGTGTGCTGCTGCTGTCCCTGCTGACTTTGGGTTTTGGCCATCCAGGCTGTGACACCTCCCTCCTGTGGACTCACCGGTCCACCACTGCTGATGCTGTAGCTGCCAGTGTAGCTGACTGAGGCAGTGTTACCCCCACCAGCTAAGGAGCCCGGGTGCCCATTAGGAGGCAGGTACTGGTCAAACTCATTGACGTCAAAGGTCTCGATGTGGGAGATAACATCACTGCTCAGCTCTCCGATGTCCACATCACGAAAGTCAATGTTAAGCTGACGCCCGGCAGGGCCATCAGGTAGAGACCGGAGTCCGACTTCCCTTTTCAGGTCTATCTTACTTGAGCTCACATCAGTCTTTGGGGTGGTGGGAGGAGTAGGAGGCCCCTGGGAGCCTAAAGAGAAAAAAATAAATAAATAAATAAAAAATACATATATATATATATATATATATATATATATATATATATATATTTTATACACACACACACACACACACACACACACACACACACACACACACACACACACACATATATATATATATATATATATATATATATATATATATATTAACAAATGTAGAGGTTTTCTTTATTATTTATTAACATGAGTACTGTTTTAGCCATACACTTCAAGGTTTTATTTTTAATCTTAAAATGGAACATTGGGGTACTTATCCAGCAGTGAAATCAGTTGAAAAGTTCCTCTCTGCTCACCTGAATGTTCTCCTGGAGAGTGCACCTCCCCCATGCTGGAGGCTGGAGAGTCCGCCTGCTGCAGAGCTTTGAAGATGGCATTGGGGGAGATGTGCGTCTGCTCGCTGCCCTCCTCCGACTCATTCTGTCCATTTTTCACCGACTTCCTCCTCCGGGGCTGGTACTTGTAGTCTGGATGATCCTTTTTATGCTGCACACGAAGCCGCTCAGCCTCCTCCACAAAAGGCCGTTTCTCGCTTTCATTGAGAAGTCTGTGCATAAAAAGAAGTATGGTTAAATACACCTTTCATTCAGAGCTCCTGCAAAAACACCAGCATTTGACTAAGAATACTTCATACATTTTTCAAAAGAAAAAGAAAAAAGAAAACATGTCAATATCATGGAATGAATTATATGAAGAAATCAACAAAAACTATTTTGGTCATTATTCAGTGCGTAAAGGCTGGTTTTATTCCAAACTTACCTCCAGAGTTTCCCCAGAGTTTTGCTGAGCTCCGCATTATGCAGGTGCGGGTACTGATCCGCCAGCTTCCTTCGAGCAGCCTGAGCCCACACCATAAAGGCATTCATCGGTCTCTTAACGTGAGGCTTGTTCTTAGAAGACCCGTTAACGCGCACTGGCATAGGCACGAGAGTCCAATCGTACCCTTTGAGCACCTGGGACACAGCCTCGCGGATGCAGGCGGGAAACTTATCTTCCTCGTCCTTCTTGAAGTCTCCGTCTGCTCTAAGCAGCCCGTTCTCTGATGGACGGGTGTTCTCCGTGTCCGAGCCTGAGATAGAGGGGCACGGGGAACCAGCGGAGTCCTCGGACATGCTCGGGCTCGGGGCGTCAGAGAGACACTTGTCTTGTTCCTCCGTCATCTTAAGGTATGGGTCGAGGAGATTCATACGAAAAACCGTTTGGTGCCAAATTACGCGTGAGTTGGGGAAGTTCTTCCTGTTTATCTCGCAAGAATTTTTGTAAATAGACTGTAATCTGCAACTTTTGAGCCTCTGGCGCAATGTTTTTCAAAATAGCACAAAAGAGGAGGCGATGGTGTCTTGAGCCGGTGTGTAAAACCTACTTAAACAGCCAATGTTTTGCGCACCTGTGGATGAGTCGCCAATTCGCGAGGACCCGCACATGAAAGGGCGAAAAATAAGCCAGTCACAGATAGTTTTCAGTTCTGTTGGATGGAAAGTAAAGTGCTCCTTTCGTTCTTGAAGTACAATCCCTGGGACTTGTGAGTACCTACTTTGAAAGGCAGACTTCGTGCGCGCAGGCTTTATATGAGCGTAACCGTGCCGCACAGGAAAGCCCGACCCTCATAGGAAGAGCGCGCGTGACGCCAGAGTGAAGGAATTCGATCCCATTTTCCACCTCTCCTAACACACACACACACACACACACACACACACACACACACACACACACACACACACACACACACACACACTCTCTCTCTCTCTCTCTCTCTCTCTTAAACAAACATGCACTACTCACCATGTTTGGTATATGCTGTTTGATTCCACTGGGTTTTCCTATATATGTTAACAGAGCTGTAAGGAGTGGAACTATCATCAACTGTTTCATCAAACGCAGGTAACAATTTTTCTAAAAAATAAGTCAAAATGATGCTTCTTAGTATAAAGGACGACAACGAACGAATAACAGATTCGTTAAAAACTTGCCCTGGAAAGGAAAGTCCACAGGTATCAGTACTTTATGATTTATGACATTATGCCTCATTACCAACTCTGTTCACTCTGTTTTTAAAGATATTTCCACGTGTTTTTACACTCCTTCCACAACTTCAGATCAATATTTTCAGTTACATGATAAGGTCAACAGGGGGAGACAGTAGTCTAGGAAACGGTAAACTCCCTCTGGCCCAAGTTGGGAGCAATATTTAGAAGAGGGAGTTCCAGTGGACTGCTGCACTGAAACAGCTGCTGTTTAAACTATCCTCTGATTTGCATTATCTCATTTTATCTCATGATGCAGAATCAAATGCCTTTGGCTGCCAAAGATTCAACTCTCAAACTGGATATATATTTTTTTCATCCAATGCTCCCCAAGAAATTAGAAATATTTTTAAAAAATAATATTTTACAGTATTATTAATAATTAAAAAGTTATTCTGTAACCGAACAGAAATGTCACATTGATTATAAAGATTTTTAAAGACAGAGTCTGGTAATTTTGAGCAGTTCTTTGTTGTAGTTTAGACTTTGGATTTGTTTGTAAAACAACTCGTAACCTTCATATTGGCATTTGGTGTCTGTGGTAAAGGAGGCACATTATTTTTGGAAAGTAAGAATGCAATCCTATAAGAAAATTCTGAGTTTCATGTAAAAATTTTAATTCATAATCATAAATTATAAGTTTAAGGTTTGAGGGGTTAAACGATAAAAATGAAGAGAGCTCCAGAAAAGTCAGGTATCTCAAAACTGTACGGTACTTTACTTCATATGTTTTTTTTGTTTGTTTGTTTGTTTTTAATTTGGATCATGCCAAAGCATGCTCAGTTTTTTAGAGGACTGTGCACATCACTCACAACACACACACACACACACACACACACACACACACACACACACACACACACACACACACACACACACACACACTCTAAATATCTCTTTGTACTCTCTTTCCATCCTACACACTCCAATCGACCCTCCAATCAGAGAGATCACTTTAACTTGGTCACTGATTGTAACTTGCCTGCACACTCCCCCTTGGATTGTTTATTATGCTTTGTAGAGATGTGGAAATGTAAATCACAGTTCGGACTAATGTGGACAACATGTGCTACCTGAAGTCACTTGTAATAGCTCGCAGATGTCAGGTCAAGCTAATTTCACTGGGCTGCTGCACACTTGCCTGCACACACAGACACTCGCAGTCCTTTTTTTTAACATTGGGAATTTTATTTTTCTCTCCATGATTCAGTCTCCAATGCTCTAATGTTGCTTGCTTGCATTGAGTCAGGCGTCTCAAACTCTGGATCACTTAGTGAGTCTTTTTCTTCCTGACCAATTAGACCTGTGGTTTCAAAACACTAGAGCCTAACATAGCAGAGTCCTTCGTCTCCTGGACGGTTTATTTACTTGAGACATGCTTATTTAAAAAACCCACTTTGAACATAAATAGGAAGGAGCAGTTTGCTTCTGTGTTAATAACTTGTGGGACGTTGCTGTGGTTGCATGTGCCTTGCGTGCTGTTACACACGGTGACCAAAACACAACCATGTTTGCTTGTAAAGCTACAGAGGCGTGAATGCATGGAGTCACAGCTGTGGATGAGGGGTGGAAAACATGGTGCTGTTATTGACTGACTAAATGTGGTTAAAAGATGTCAGCAAAAATAAAAAGAGCAAATACAGATAAAAACAAAAGCTAACAACGGACTGGGGTACAAGAGAGATGAACAGTTCCTGTTGTTGATCTTCATACATCAAACTTTCATGTGAACTCTTGCATATTTGTGATGGCATATGTGGCCCCCACTCCAACACCACATATTGTCAACTTTAAAAAAAAAAAGCACTCACAGAAAACCCATTCCCGAGATAGACCTGAGACACCTGAGAAAATCTCTGCAAACAGTGAGATTTAACTGCTAAACTCTCCACAGTTTCACCAGGCTGCTTTGTATTTCTGAACTTCACACCTCCAGGAGTGATTCATAGAGCTCCATGTTTCTGAGTCTAACCTACTTTTAAAGATAAACCTTAGTCCATTCAAACAGACATTGAGGAGGCTTTTTAACACAGTGAAGTATTTGGGGGGAAGGAGGAGGCATTACATGAAGTATACTTCATTCTGTCCAGAACAGAAGGAACAGATTGAACTCTGGGTTCTCATGGAGCTGATGAGTAGCTCTGCACAGGCCTAAACTTCAGAAAACAGTCTGGAAAACAGTCAGGAAAACGGTCACTTAGGGGAAAAAAAGATGAGTTAAACAGAGCCCATATAAAAAACATGTTAATGTTCAATTTGATATAGATAAATCATACATTGTTGTATTACTTAGTCATGTACATTACACATAGCACTTTTAAGGTTCCTTTGATTCATTTTTACCAATCCAGTTTAGGAATCTCATTACAAGGCAATCTCATAAAGGAGTGACAAAAAAGTAAAATGGAAATATCCTGACAAACATATTGAACTTTTTGTGCACTGAACATTACACAAAACAACACAGCAATTTCATTTTCTCAAATGATAGATACACAACTGAACACAGGGGGAAATTTTGGGGGGTCTAAGGCCCGAACTACACGAATGCGGATATATTTCAAACCGCACATATTTATGTCCGATTAGGCCTCCCTACCACACCAAAACGGGAGTTTGGAGCACCTAAACCAGATAAATCTGAATCCGGAAAAACAAGTGGAGAAATAAAAAAATATCCGTACCCCGTATCCATGGTGGATTCGTGTGGTTGGACTTTTACGGATCGATGACGTCAAACCGCAGCTCGTGCATGCGAATTAAAAAGAAAAACAACAACGATGGCGGACATACAGGGTATTCTTTACGTTTGTTTTGCCATTTTGGGGCTAATTTCAGCCTTGCAAGTGAACCTTGTTTTATACAATTACATCCACCAGTCAGCCAGCTCACAGACGCGTCTGCTGCGGCCAATACCTTTATTGGTCACATGGTCCGTCACATGGACCCGACGCACTAGCGTAGCTTCCGCAAACAATGCATGACGCATCACGCTGTTACAATTCATCAGCCAATCAGTTAGCTTTGTTCCTGAATTTTTTTTAAGCGGCACCAGATAGGATTGAGTTTGAAGGCTACGTGTGGACGCAGATATTTTTGAGAACTAACACGTGTGGACAGATACATTTATTTAGACGGGAGTACAAACATATCCTGATAAATAAATATCCATATACGTGTAGTTCGGGCCTAAGTTTTCAATATTGGTGAGAACTCTATGAACAATGCCCCTCATTTCCCGTCTATATTTTATTTTTTTATGGAATGCTTGGAAGCAGCTGTGTGGGGTTTTCCTGGTGACCATGCACCACATTTTGTGCAATAGATTGTTGTCTGTCCTTCTGGGCAGAACCTGCACCTACCCTTGTCTGTGAAAGCTGGGAATTGATCCACTTGACCATGGTGGACATCAACCATGGGTCTTGGGGTTGTTGGCCTTTGTATGCATCTGGTAGGGCTGTGCACATTTTCCTTCCCTTCTTTGGAAGGCTTTCCCTTCTTCTTTCTACCGTGGACAAGGGCATCTGCAACCTCCAGCCTGATTTTTTTGAGCTTTTTGTGCTTTTGCACACCAATGCTTTTGGCATCTCGGCAATACAGCAACCATCCATTGTTGATGACTTTATCAGCCATTTGCCAAAAGAGGCACAGGTACCACCAGTGGGCTTTGCATGGGTGCAGTACAAGCCCAGGAGTTAGCTAAGGTGACAACTTTGGGTAACGCTTTATATTAAGGTCCTTGTAATAAGCATTAGTTAAAAGGTAATAAGGCCCTTATAAGTGCGTACAAGATGCTTATTAGGGCCCGAGCCAGCTGCAGAGCAGCCGGGCGTAGGCCCTATTATTCCCCAAGTGGTTTTTCTTTGTTTCTTTCTTTAGGGCCCGAGCCAGCTGCAGAGCAGCCGGGCGTAGGCCCTATTATTCCCCAAGTGGTTTTTCTTTGTTTCTTTCTTTCTTTTTAGGGCCCGAGCGTAGCTGCTAAGCAGCTGCGAGAGCCCTATTATTCCTGATGGATTCTTTAGGGCCCGAGCGTAGCTGCTAAGCAGCTGCGAGAGCCCTCTTGTTCCTGCATGTTTCCTTCTTTCGTTAGGGCCCGAGCGTAGCTGCTAAGCAGCTGCGAGAGCCCTCTTGTTCCTGATGGATTCTTCTTTAGGGCCCGAGCGTAGCTGCTAAGCAGCTGCGAGAGCCCTATTATTCCTGATGGATTCTTCTTTCTTCTTCTTCTTCTTATTATTTTTCTGCCCCTTTGAACTGGAAAATGGCCCACTTCCCACTGGTGAAAAGTCATGAAATTTGGCAGGACGACCGGGCCTGGTGAAAAATTCGATATTCTGAAGTCCCCCAAAAAATCAAATGCAAAATGGCTCCATAGCGCCCCCTAAGGTGAAAAATTCACATGATTGAGTGTCACGCCTGTACGCTTTGTCAAAATGACACAAAAATTGACACACACATGTATCTCAATAAGATCTACAAAAAAGTCAGTGCGGGCGTATCTGTC